CATTCCACACCCTCATAGAGTTGTTCTGAGGAGTTGCCAATTAATGATTGTAAGATATTCTCATGCTATAATTGAGGACATATAATAATTTAAGATAACGTCAAAAATAGAAACACTCCTTAAATAATGTCACCTTATCTGAATTATGTTTGAAATGGCATGTGACATGGTTAAACACATGGATATAGGTTCACAGAAAAATGAAAAGACTATAACAACTGCATTCCTAGAATGACTTTCCAGAGGAGACCCTATCACTGCAGTCTCTTTTATTACTTATTTTCAACTTCTTTATTCTTGTTTGTTATAACAAATCACAACATTGTACACCTTGCACCTGCATACAACTCCCTAGTCACTAAAATTCTGTGCCTTTCCAAGATTATGTGCCGATATAGACACGTGGAGAAAAAAGAGAAACCAACCCAAGCAGCTGGGCAGATTCAGTAATGATGGGCACACTCGGCCCTCATCTAAATGAGGCAGCGGTATAATAAGAAGTACGTCTTGTGACATGAGACCATGTGCTCTGTGCCACCCTGTGCTAAAATAGGGACACACCAAAGCCACCTGATTCCATTCCCCGGAAAATCCAGGCCTGTAACTCTGAAGCAAAACATCCACTATTTAAACAAAGCTTGTACTTTCTGCTTTTGCTGCTGATGCTGCTATTGCTAAGTTACCGTTATTTGGGCCTTCATGTTTCAGTTTATCTGGTCTGCCAATGGATCAGATCTCTGAGGTACCCAGTGCCCTTCCTCTATCATACCCAAATGCTCCAGCAATTTAATAGCGTCTGAACTTGCCTAAAGAATTTAGCAAATTTACAAAAGCAAATAATACAGGGAAAGTGTTACAAAACCAAACAAAAAATAAAAAGGCACTCTTACATATGGAACTTTGAGAATTATCCTGCAGAAATAAATGCATAACCAGGCTAAACTGAAATCAGGGGATTGCAGCAAGTCATCAAACTCATTTTCTACTGCAGTTAGTAAAGTTTTTAGCACCGCAATCACAATACCAACAAGAAAGAGACAAGCACCAAGCCTTATTCTTTCCAAACTACTTAACTTTTTTTTACCCGTGGAGGCTAACATAGTTGTTTTAGACCTTATCTAAGAGAAGCACTACACTTGTTCATTAAATACATTTTTACTAAAGATAGCTAAATTCTTTTAAGTTCTATTGAAAAAGCTATCACTGGAATTCATGAGCAGTAACTTGTACAGAGATAAGCTATAATTTAATACCTTAAATTGCTTATTAAGAAAGTACTGTGCAGAACTCGGCAATGACCAAGTACAGCATAAGCAAGCTGAAAACCCTTCAGTATGTTCTTTCTCCCACTGCTATAACAGAACATTAGCACTTGCCCGGTGCTCTTTCACTGAGCTACTGCAATAGCTCATACTCAAGAACAAATGAAAGCACCCTCCGGGTTTTTCTGCTTACAGTAATACGTATTAATTGGAAATAAAATACATTTCCTTATTCTCCCATGTATTTTTCAAGACTATATCTTATGATAAATACACTCTTGCCTTCTCAAATCTGGGTACTCAACTCACCACTTTCTTTCAAAAATAATAATAAACCTGGTACAATTAGCACATTTTATTCATTTACATTCAAAATTATCTAAAATGACTATCTTCCTCTGACTCTAGGCACTTTAACATCATTAATAATATAACAAAACCCTAGCTGCATTAGAATAATTATTTCAACAGGTAACTAGCCATTCAGACCTCTACTCCTTTCCATCCTTTATCACACTGGGAAATAATTTTAATTCCCTTCACAAAATGCTATCAAACAGATGTCTTTTGCACAAAAAGATGACCAGATCCAAGCTATTTCAGATGATGACAGAAAACAAGTCCCACAATCCTGGAGAATGTCCTGCCACCTGCTCCTTCAGTTATATCAGGCGAGAAAAACAACTGGCTGCTGATGACTCAGATAAACTGGTCTCCAATTGTTTAAAGCTTTACAAGGCAGAACCAGTACCTTAAATACACTCAGTAACCAGTGGTCACCCAAATGGATGTCAAGCAAAATGATCTGCTTCAAAAAGGAGCTCCTGGTTCTGCTGCTATCACTCAGGCAGGGTGGTCACAGCAGCAGCTGTAAGCATGATGAATTCTGCACCTCATTTGCCATCGATTCCCACAGCTGTCTTGTCAAATCCTTACAGCCTGTGGGAACGTGGCTGTGAGCATGCTGGTTTTCCAGGCATCCTTGAAAATGCACGTGTTACGGGTGTCATGCTCAGATGGCGCTTGTGTGGTTAGCTGAAATGTATTCAGAACAGCTTTGGGGCCATCTATTGCAGATAATACAAAGAAACACATTTTTCTGGAAAAGTTCAGTTAAAGGGTACACTCCACACTCCTCTTGGAGTGCCCACTGCAATCGTTACTTACTTTAAATGCGCTAAGGTAATTTAAAAGCTACTTCAGTATTAACGTCATGTAATTTTCACACTAACAGTTCAAAGTCAAAGTAAACAAGTTTCAACCACGCACACAAACACTTTCTGCTTTTTTAAGTTACCAAGCGCATACCATAAAGACAAGTCTCACTTTATCCTTTGTAATCACTGCGATTTTGTTTTCCCTGTACAGTTATTCAGATCTCATTCCAGAATTCATCAAGTTAATTAACACATTTCAGTTTGTTCTGTGTTTAAGGGGAGATTGTCTGTGGCTTGACTCTGGGAAAATGCACAAAAGAAGGTGGCAGCTTGTTTTTCAGCTCCTGTCTTTGCATTTTCTGCTCAAGAGCCAGGGAAGCATGTAAATTAGGAAGCACATGTATCTTGCAGGATTAGCATCACACATTTCTCGGAAGGCAAAGAAATGACAGCACACCTTCCATTCTGGAAATAGAAAAACTGATCATGTACCATTTCAGGGGTGGGTTTTTTCATGTTTCTCTGCCAAGCTGCTGATCTGAAATCTTATTTATACTTCATTCATCCGTCTTTCAGTCATAGCAGCTCCTCCATTGGTAATATAATTGTTTATATTATGATAATGCCTTGAGTGAGGTTAAGACTGCATGATGCAAACATATGCAACATACAAATATATATACTGAACAATATAGGAAATCTGTCAGGATTCATTTGGTGCATTGTTACCTGAGCACTCTGGATAATAATCCTCCAAGAAATATTTCACAACATGAACATCAATTATGTAAAATTGCGTCAAGGCCAAAAGAATCAGAACGCATCGAATGAATTTTCTTGTAAGAATCTATTCCTTCAGAAATTGAAATGAAAATGCAGAGAAATTTTTCCAGGTAATCCCAAGAGTGTAAATTTTGGAAGCAAAAGGCCAAAACCTTTAGATATTGTCTCAGTAAGTGTATTCTGCAGCCAAAAGCTTAATTCAAATCAGCTTTTTTATGGTGCATAAGTATTTCAAGGCAAAAAAAAAAATTGATTCTAATGCTCATGGTTATTAACGAAATGTCTGCTTCTGGCATTTAAAATTTAAATCCTAATAGTCCCACTAGATTAACCTGACACTATGCGTATCATGGACCATCAGATTTCAACCTGTATTTATCCAATAAAATAAAGCATAACTTCTGCTCGGCTAAAAAATAATTTTCAGAAATACATCTAATCTTCAACAGAAGACATAAAGTGATGGAAAATCCTCAGCTTCTCTTGGGAATGTGTTCTGGTGGTTAACCATGTAAAAATGTCTGTCTTATTTCCTATTTGAATTTGTCTGGCTTTTGCCTCCGGCCATTACTTCTTATTATGCTTTTCTTCAACAGATTAAAGAGCCCTTTAATATCCTGTATTTTCCCCCAGGAATGTTCCTATACACTACAATCAAGCCACCTCCCAATCCTCTTTTAGATAACTTTTAACAGCCTGAGCTCTTAAAACCTCCCAGTGTAATGCATTTTCTCCAACAATCAGAACATTCTGCTTCACTCTTTTGCTCTCTCTTATTTTCCAATGTGATTCTTAAAATCTGAAAACCAGAACTGTATGCACTATCCTGTGGATGACATTGTTGAGGCCAAGCATGAGAGGTAAAATAAACGGGTTTTATTCCTTTGTTTATACATTGATTAATCCTTTTCTGCCATAGCAGCATACAGGAGAGCCCTTATCTGATTGCTTACTTATTCTGACCCTTAAATCCTTCTCAAAGTCATTACCTTCCTAGGCTATAGTCTTCTATTCTCCAGTTACAGCCTCACACCTGGTTCTTAAGACAGACAACTTTATAGTTGGCTGGATTAAAATTCACTAAGGTTGAAGGGGCTGCTTCTACCAACCGTTCTGATCAGTGCCCCGTCCTCATCATTATTTATGACTCCATTAATCCTGGACCTGAATTTTTGCAGCAGCAGGTTTAGATCTCCTTCTAGATCATTGCTAAAAGTGTAGAACAACATAGAACCTACTACTGGAACCTCTTTAGACACCATCTCTTTCAACTAAGTTTTCCTACAGAATTCCTCTTCTTGAGATCTGGCAGCAAATTCCATTTGCATGGCTTATTGGCACTGCATGCATCCAATGTTAATGAGAATATCATGCAGCACTGAGTCAAGCACCTCCTCAAAACAGTATTAATAGCTATTTTTACTAAAACACTGTATAGACTTGTATTATATTCCTTCACTTCAACTTTTTATTATTTGAATTCCACATCAGATTTTCTGTTTTGGTTAGGATAGCTATTAAGCTAACACGTCACTTGAGTCATATTGCTCACCCTTTTCAAAAATAGCACAAACCAGCACATTTATTGCTTCTTTAACCTCCTGATTTTAAGGCAAGATACAAATACACTGGAGTGTTAGCAAGCCATAGATCAGCATCAGTTGGACAGGCAGAAGCATCGGAGCGCACCGGTGACCACAGCTCGCACTTCTCACGGCATTTCCAGGATGGAAACCCCAGCAGCTGTGTTAAGCCATACACACCCACCCAGGAGGAGGCGTGGAACCTCCTCCCGACTATGGAGAGATGGGGTAAGGCACGACCCCTTTCCTCAGGCCCAGCAGAAACCTCCCTGAGCGGCTGTCTGCTCCACATCCCTGCGGGTAACTCACCGCCTCCACTGCTTTACTGGCCTGACCGCTGGGGCTAAGGCCGCTCACACTCTCTGCTTGAAATCAGCTTTCCCTCTCATGTTTACACCACCAGATTTAGGTTTCTGGGGTCGATCCGGGCAGCGGGCACAGGAGGAGGCAGAGGAGGGCAGGGGCAGCCAGGCGCAGGCCTCGGGGCTGCTGATAGTGGCTGAGGCGAGGGTGGCAGCAGCTCACCAACTAGCTCGCCGGGAGCCGTTCGTGCCGGTGACCGGGCTGCAGCCGGCGAGAAGGGGCCGACGGGCCCCCGCTGCCCCCGGGGGGGCCCAGGGCCGGCGGCCCCCCCCGC